CTACGACTACTACGACGACTACTAGTCAGCAGTCCCCTGTTCGATAGTGCGATTCCCCGGTGTCACGCAGCATTGGCTTGGGAAGAAGAAGTGTGGATTGGTGAGGTTTGGGTTCCTGATCCTTTTGCGGGAGGTGACGGGTAAGTCCCAACCTTGCTGAATCCTCTTTTGAGGGTAGGAGCCATGGCACGGATGCCGTCATGGCGGAAGACTGGCCAGGGGGCCAGGGAAAGCCACTTTGAAGGGCTAGCTGAAGGTGTCTGGGTGGAGTTTCCTGGGTACGACGAGAGGGGACGGCAGCAAGGGCATGTGATTGCCTACCTTGCCCGCCTACCTTGCCCAGAGTGGAGATGAGCGTGCAGCGGGCAAAGGCCGGTGTTTTGAGGCCAACGTGGTGGCTGTGCAAGACGGGTACTATGACTACTGGGTGGAGGAGACCTACGGGAGCTTTGCGCTCGAAAGAATGGTACCGCTTCACTTTTGTTCAGTTACCCAGTCAAGGTGCCCTGACACCGACACCACTATGTGCCGGCACCCCCTCCACGTGGATGTTTTCAGAGTGCTGACCGAGGCCGACAAGGACCTCCTGGCTGGGCACCCCGGGCTTGTTGGTGATGCACCGGACCTTGGGGGACCTCCCCCAGGGCCAAAGCTGATCCGACGGCTGGGGGGGGTTCAGACCGCGTTGGCTGGGATTGGTGGACTTGCTGAAGCACTCGGCGCTGGTGAAGTTGGAGCACGACCTTTGGAGGCCATGGCGAACGCCGAAGAGAAGAGTGCTGAGAGGGCCCGAGGGTCCAAGGAGGAAAGAGACGATCTCCTCGATGAACTGCAGAAGAAGAGCCCTGCGGCAATGAAGGCCCGATCTGCCTTGGAGCTGGGGTTCTTCCAGCTGATCTACCTGGCGGCGCACGAAATCGGCGTCCGGAAGGAGCTCGCCACCCTGACGGCGGTGATCGACACAGTGGCCGAGAACGATCCCCGGGCCCTGAGACCTGGCCGAAGAGCCGACTTTGGTCCCCGAACTCCACCCTACCTACGGTCCCCAACTCGTCTCTTGCCAGTGGGGTGGGGAAGTGTACTCCCCCGATCTGCCTACTAGTGCTGCTGGCAAGAGGCACTCGCTAAGAAGCAGCGCCTCTTGCTCGACCAGGGTTTTGGCCCCCTAAGCTCGCCTCGCTAGACCTGGATGAGTCTACCGCTATGGCCCCCCAGCTGCTACTGAGCTGAACCTCCATTTTGGGGACTGGCTAGCCGAAGCGGTTTATTGCTGGATTGCGAGGAAGCCAAGATCTACAATCGGGCCCACGACGGCTACTTTGGGGGCGACCTGGCCTGGATGTTGCTAATGCCATTCGTGGAGGTGCAAGACGCTAAGGGGCCGCTAGGGGAGCGCAACCGCAAGCTCATAGAAGACGGCTGCATTGTGGAGGTTGGAGAGGAGCGGCTACTCGACATATGGTGTCGCAAGCTAATGGTCAATGCGCCGGTTTTGGCATCGCTACAGGGCATCTTGGACCCGGGCCGCGCAGCCCCCCTGCTAACGGGGAGTACCCGGGCTTCTACTCTGAAACGCTATCTGGGCTACTACCGCCAGTGGAGGCTGTGGTTGGGGGAAGCGAAGCTAAGGCAGCCGAGGGGGCGCGTCTCATCAAGCGGGCCCCCAGCTACCCGGTCTTCATGCTGATCCTGCTGGGTGGTGGTCCTGGACGTGGGGACCCCTGTCTATGCTGACAAGACGCATCCTGTTGGACGTGTCATTCCGCGCTTGCGTATCATGCCTGGAGGATTGTGCCCCGCCTCCTATGACGTTTTCAGTGACTGGTTGCGGAAGCAGTAAGATGTAGATGTGGTTAGCAAGACTGGCAAGAAAACGACCGCATTCTCTGCCTGTGCGCAAGTTGCTCATTTTTGGAGTGGACCTGAACACCCGAGTCAGACCTTTTCTTCCAGGGCTACTTGGTCGAGGCGTTCTTGGTCAGGTGTTTTTCGCAGTTGGATTTTCTTGGCGCAGGTCGACTTACAGTCGATCCACGGGCATAGCAGGCAGCGCCAACGCCGCTGTGTCTTGTCCCCTCGCGGAATGGACCTAAACAAAGGCCAGTTTGTGTCAGCTTTAAGTCTTTGAGTGGGTCGCTGGTTGGACTTGTGCCAAGCATCGACTTCCGCAGCAACGTTTTTGTTTGTGTGACCTTAACCGGCATGTTAAACAAAACACAGAGCTTGCCCTGCAGCTCAAGCAAGAAGTAGATGTGGTGGGTCGTACAGGCTCAATCCTCTTCGCGGCCTCTCCGGACCAAGACGGGGCAGACGCATTTTTTCAGCAAGGCATCAGGCAAGTGTGGAATGCGTGTAGTGTAGTGCATTTCCTGTCCCGAGCATGGGGTGGCTGCTTCGGAGAGGTAGAGAGGCTGCGTCGTGTCAGATGCAGTTCCAGCGCTGTAGCAGGGAACTGCGTGCCAGGTGCAAACAGGCTAGGAAGGCTTAGTTGGTTGATCTCTTGGTTGAAGCTGCGCGAGCTGCTGCTCGCTCGAAACCTCGATCCTCTGCGGAGATGCTATTCCTACGAGCCGCTTTCCAACTATTCGGGCCGTAACAGCTTCCTTGACATATTCCTGACTTGGCCGGATGCATATCTCCGAAGGACCGCGGTCCATCTGTGTGGCATCAAAAGCGTGTAAGCACTGAAATATTTCCTTGTACTCCTGTTGCTTCGTGAGTACACGGCCTGCGGAGCTGCGAATGCGCACCGGCTCCCGACGACTGCGTGGGGTTGCTGGCTAGTTTGCAAAGCGGAAAAACCATTGACCAAGCTATCGGTAGGGTTGCTAAAGATTGCTACCTGGAGGGGGAACGCCTTAAAGCCGTTGTTCTGAGTGTCCATCAGCAACAACGGCGCAAGTATCGAGGCAGCTTTTGCAGTCTACAAGACCAACAGAAGAGAATGTTGATCGATTCACAGTACGTAACATTTAGCGCAACCTGCAGCAAAAACACTTGAGGACATAAGTTTCTCCTTGCCGGCACGTCCGTCTTCCTCTAGCGCAGTGCCGCAGCTACTTCCCACTGATTGTGCTGCGAAATGTGAATGTTATGTTTCTTTCGCTTGCTCTACTTGGCTGGTCGCATCAATGCGTTGCAAGCTGGTACAGATTTGTGGAGTTGGTGAAGGATTGCATGCTTTGTCAGTATTCTTTTGCGGATGCAGATTTGATCAATGCAGTGATCTTGCTCAAGTGTCTGGTGATGGCAATGAATGCAGCTTCGTCCTCCACAGGGTCACAGGTTTGGTGGCAAGTGGTGGTGGTCCAGGTGGTTCCTCGTCCTCAGGTCGGCGCCGCAACCGAATTCAGATGCGCCGAGAGCGTGGATGCCACATGAAATTTATGAAGTATAAGCGCAGGCAGTGCTGCGCTGTTTTCACCAGTGGTGCTCATGCCCCGAAGTGTGACAAATTTCAGCGGGCTTCGCAAAGAGGTAGTGCGGGAACGTGCGCCACGTATACCTGCCAAGCCGAGCGCTGCCTGGGGGCCATCGATTCAGCTGCAATCAAGACACCTTCGTGCAGCAGTTTTGAAGCGGGGACTAAGAAGCAACGTGTGGATCAAAATTGGTTCGTCGTCGAAGGATATTGAAGGCCTCATTGATCTGGAAGTTCTGAATTGACCGAGTAGGTTTGCCTTCTGCAAGCCATGTAGTGCACATGGTGCTGCCGCAGGGCAGTCGGTCTTGCCCTCCTCCTCCTCCTCGTCCTCCTCCCCCTACTTCTTCTTCCAGACGCAGCGAAGGGTAGGTCCTCGCGTGGTGGTCCAGTGGATTGGCAGGGTCTGCACCCCGGTGCTCTATGCGCAGGCCTCTCTTCTGAAAGCCTTCGACTAAAGCCAAGTAAGGAACATAACATACATCCATCTCTCTAGGCTGCAAGTCCCCGAATAAAGGCAAGCGTAAGCGAGATGTACAGGTTGGTGCTTGACACGGGAGCAGGGAGCGAGCTAGCTAGAGGCTATTACACAGTGCCTTGGGATTCAGGACTCTGCGAGAGAGGGCGCCTCTCAGCTTGCAGCACTCCTGTGTGTGCCTCAATGCCACCATGCTTGAGAAACTGTACTGGTTTTCACTTCCAGAGAAAAGTGATGGACTAGTTCACTTGCTTCGAAGAAAAACAGTTTCACTGGTCGGCAGTGCGGCTCGGAACCAGCCGAGTCATCAGCGTCGCGTCGGGCGTAGAAGAACACACATGTTTGGCCACTGTGGGTACATCAGTGATCAGGTGTCGGTTCTGCTCAGGCTGAAAGAGGATGCTACGATAATGACCTTCGGTGCTTCTGCGCCCGATGTGCAAAACCGCAGCTGTGCGGCGATACATTGCAAAACGCAAGTGCAGTGCATCCCCGGCATGCAGGTCGTTGCAGAAGACCGGAAACATGATGCATGGCTCAGGCGCGATGCTACAGGTGGATTTAGCTAGATCCTCAGTACCTATGTTAAACCGGTTGACCTGCAGGCATAGCACTGTCGGTGCTTTCAGTCCATGCTGGCCATCCTGCTGCATCCAGGCATCAAGTACGGCTTGCAGGCTGACTTTTGCATGGTGACACCGTGCCAAGCCTTCAAGTGGCTCGGGAAGATAGAGCCATAATCGAGGCGCCTGGCAGGCAAATCACAAAGGTGCCGTCTTGCCTCCTAGGTTCCGAGGGATATGTCACGCATCAGGTTGCCGAGGAATGCTAAGTACTCACCTACATCATGCTGTCGGCCGGGGATGCTCCAACCTACATGTGCGCTGCGCCAAGCAATGTGGCCCCATGGCGAGGCAGCCCTGCGCTGCTTTGCAGAGCCATTGCCACACTGCAAGTCCAGCCAACTCACAGGTCGGGGTACCTAGAAATTGCGTCCAGAAGATGGCAAGTAGGGTGGCATTACTGTGGCAGTAATTTGAGGCATTGGGTAGTATGAGGCGGCGCTCTCGGAGATCATGCGATGAAGCGCGACTTCCAGCGCATTGCGACCCATCTTTTCGGTTTGGAATGTCATGGCGCAGACCCTCCAGAGCCCGCTGTGAGTCAGGCGGCTCATGTGGTTCCATGCCATCTAGGCTTCTGCTGTTCTGAAGCCCAACTGAAGCGTCATGGGAAGAACTTCGGCCTTGTGATCCTTCACCAGCTTCCGCGTGGAGCGGAATCCCATCATCGCATGCTAGTTTTAATGGAGATGGCTCAAGAGCTATCCCACAAGAGCTGTGAGCTACAGCTGCCTCAACCAGCTAGTCGATGACCTCAAAAACGAGGAGTTTGATAGTTGTGACCCCGGCTTGAGGACAGACCTTCAGGGGGAAGAGCTCGAGTGGCGAATCGTGGACCGGCTACTCGTGCATTTTACGAGAAAGCTAATAGTATAGAACCATGTCAGCCAATACGGTCACAGAGAATACATATGAGTGGCCGTTGCTGTAGATACATGTGACTGCATTACACACTTGCACGCGTAGCTAATTTACATACTCACCCGCCCTGATGCACCCCACCCCCCCCGCACCACCCCCCCACTTGACAGCGGTGGCTGGTATTGGACTACGACATCGCGAAATCACAGTACAGACCGAGTAAAATGGATGTGCCCTTAAACAGTGTTTAGGAGAGGTACTTGGTAGGGGGGACTATTATTATTATTCGTCGTAGTAGTAGTAGTAGTAGTAGTAGTACTACTACTACTACTACTACTACTACTACTATGACCACTACTATTACTACTATTACTACTACTACTACTACCACTACTACTACTATGACTTCTACTACTTCTACCACGACTACTATTATTATTACTCCTAGCACTACTACTTACTACTATTGCTACTACTGCTACTAC